AGATAAGGGAGTAACCAAATAAAATCAGGAAGTCTAGATTGACATGAAGGGCAAAGACAGAAGGTTACATGCTAAGCTTTGCATTAGCTGCCCTGAAGTCTTATGGCTGAAGCTGTCTACTGCTGAAATGGACAAAGAGCTAAAGCATCATGTGACCAGCACTGCACATTTGGCATGATAATGCTGGATTTAACAGGAGTTCTCTGCACATCATTCCCTTGGTACCTGTTTTGAGGAGGAGCATTAGGGTCCTGTTTTTTACTTTTTGACCCCACGCTGTCTCTTTTAGGTTTTTTCTTCTTTGGTTTTCCTTCCTCATTTTCTCCCTCTTCATCTTCATCATCCAAAGGCACATCAAACTCTGGTTCTTTCAATAAGCCAAAGAAAACCTGCAAGCCAATAAGATACATATGACATAATGGCAACTGTTGCTCTTACTGAACACTAATTTCTCAGTCAGAAAGGGACAGCTCTACTAAATTGAACATTACTGCGTTCGTTACTGATTAGTCTGTCACAAGTGTAATACATGTTCTGCTGTTTTACCCAACAATTGATCTGGACAACTGTGAGTTCTCCCATAACCTCTTAGTGCTTCCCTAAAGCAAAATCCCTACCACTTACATAATGTATTTGTGTGGCATTGTGGTACTACAACTACTGTTGAGATCTACCCAACAGTCTTTGCAGTAACAACTGGAAGTAAGAACGGTTGTTGCTGTACTAGAGAGGATGACAGATGGGTCCATTTTAAAACTACACAGCAAAATCATTAGTTTAAATCCAGTTCAGCAAACAGAATATAGAGCTGTCTATCACAGTTCCTTCTACTGGTCAGTGACACATTTTGATTTCTCTACTCCTGATAACATCTATTTGTACTGAACTCTTCCTTCACTTTGTTCGTGTTGTCTTTTAAGATCTCAAGTAGCAATAGTCAGTACTTTCTGAAAAACTACTCTGGAAACGTTCAATAATAAAGAGCAATAATCTTTTCCTCCTACCTTCGCTTTATTTGCCTCTCGTTTTGCCTCCCCAGCCAAGCTCCCAACCATAGCATCTATCTGTTGTTTACTACGAGGCATTCCATCAAAAATATCAATGTAGAGATGTTCCTGAACAATGTTCCAGATCTGGTTGTTCTGCTTTTCCTGAAGATGCCTCTTCAAGAGTTGGTAAGAGTCACGGGAAATACGCAGAACAAACTTGCTTGTTCGGAAATCCAGCATGGTCTCATTGCCTTTCATATGTTCCTTTTTGGTTAAGCTAGATAACACACGGAGGTCATCTTGGTAATAACATTCCTGATCCCCATGAAATCTATTGAAATTCAACATGTGGTAAGAGATTTATTAGGAAAACACTATCTCCTAAGTGCACAGTTAATTACATCATTTTAACATGAAACACAGTAGCTTCCAAAGATTCCTCAACAACTATATATGGAATGATCTTTGTGCTGGAATAAAATTCCTTTCGCAAGGAATCAGCGACTTTGTACACAGTAAAATTAATTAAGAGTTTAAAAAAAAAAAAAAAAAAAAACAAGATGAAGAGAGTACACAGAAATGCATAAGCACGAAGGATTACTGCCTGCAGTAAATAGTTACACTAATACATCTATTTACATAAATAAAACTTCAATTAGTGGTACCATAAAGTACAAGGCATTTCTTATTATGTAAGACTACCTGGATGTATTTGTAATTGACTCATATGAATATGCATATTTAACAATGAATACATTCCTCACTTCCCACTCACATTACCTAATAGCTGACATACATCTAGAAAAAATAAGCTTCCATTTTTAATTCAAATCATTTATAAGATACTTGTGGCAGGGAACATTTTAATTATTTAAAGAACTTTTTTTCTGACCATGTTTGAGGGATAAACACGGGTTGAAATGTTTCTTAATTGGTTTGATCCCAGAATATAATAATGTAGATTAATGATAATTTCATTTAATCTTAGAAGAATTTAAATATATACAGTATGATATTAGTAAACATTTATAGACTGTACTGCTTTGGATCTCAGTGCAAATTTCAAGTGCTAGCAAACGAGCCCACAATCTTTCCCTAAAGCAGCAGCATCTTCTCATTGATACTTTGCAGCAGGGAACCCACCACCTCACCATTAAAATCTGCAAGTGTACAGTTCAAAAGCATGGAGTTTGCATATCTTTCTAATACTGAAGATTGGAAAAGGATTAACAATTCCAGCAAACCACAGATTGTAAGTCCCTTCAGCATTACTGAAGAACATGTGTTTGTATATGTATATATGTACACACATACCTATGCCAGCCACTACAGCTAACGGACTTAAAGTAGCAGACAGCATATAACAGAATTACACAAATTAAAATCACTTACCTTTCAAAAAAAGACTTAGCTTCACTCTCATGTTGGTTGTAGACCAACTCCAAGTACATGTGCACAAAGAGAGGATAAAACAGCTGAGACAGTTCAGCCCGATGACAGTCCAGGGAACACTCAATGAAGTTTTTTAAACCGCTGTAGTACTCCTCATACAGCGTAGGGTCCCCCTGCTGATTGTAGGCAGACAACACTGCACTCACATCTGGCTGATCCTCCACAACAACACCTCCTCCAACTGCAAAAGCATTAGCATATAACAGATTGTAATGCTGCCTCAAAGAGCAATACACAAATAGCAAACACACAGTGGCTAACAACACCTATGCTGAGGTAAGACGCTCAGAACAAAACAGAACATTGTTTTGCATCTGTTCAGCCCTACCTTTAAGTGATACAATTGAGAGGATGGTGGCACATTGACTATAGCCCAGCAACTGATTCTTCAAGTACAGTTCTTAATTTTTTGTGCCCTCCCTGCCAAAAGTTGCCTACAAAGTATTTAACGTAGTGCCTAACTCAGCTAAGTGAAAAAAAAGCTAGTGTCGCATCAGAATCCTTCACTGCAAGGGCTAGAAACTGTCAAATGAGGAGCTGAATATTTTTAAGCCTGTAAGATATAATCACTATAATTATTTTGCTTCTAACGAGCAAATTAAGTTAATCAACTGAACAATTTACCAAGACCACTTCATAGCCATTACAGGGCAGTGACTTTCTGCCACTTGCTAGCACTCTCATTGCAGTCATTAAACGCTTTTGTCTCTTGGTCTTCTATCTTAATATATATGTACCTCCTATCAGGTGATGCCAGGAACAAGCTGACTTCATATTGTACTCTTACTGCCATTCAGACATATAAGTTCCTGAAACACTTCCAATATTATGTAAAGCTGCCCCACATTAAAATTTATTACAGTCTGAGGACTGAGGAACAGCTAAAGCCATTATCAGCTGGCACTAGAAATGCATAAAGCCTTTTCCACGAGTACCCTACTGCTCTTTCTTCAAAATGCAGCAGCTTGTACATCGGGGCTCTGGCAACATCCCTGCAGCCATCACCTCTACAAAGGTAATCACATCACAACTACAAAGGGAATCTTCAGCCTCGCGTGATGCCCTTTTTGAGATGGTACCCAAAGACAACGGGAAGCACTTGTCCCAGCAAGTGAAACAGCCTATCCTTGGTCCCCTTCTCTGAGAGGTGCACCCCAAAATTGCGATCTCTTCTGGAGTTGCACGGCAGACTGCCAGAACCACCGATTTTCCCGAGGAGTGGGGTACAGCCTTATCTGTCCCCGGAGTAGCCACCCAGGGGAGTGCAGCCCGTGCCTCAGCATCACAGAGCCCCGAGGCAGCGGGAAGCACACCGAGTCCCTCGCGGCGGGCCCCCCCTCCCGTAGCTACCGAGCGGGTCTCACCTTTCCCCGGTGGCACTGCGGCCGCTGCCGCCACCCCCGGGCTAGAAGAGGCGACGGGGGCGACGCTGCCTCCTATCGCGATGGTGGCGGCGGCGGCGACCCGGCTGAGCAGCGCCTCGCTGCTGCTGGCATCCCCTTCACCCCCCGGGGCTCCCGGGAGCCCGGCACCGGCGGGGCTGAGGGCGGCGGCTCCGAGGTCCTCGCCGAGCAGTCGAGCTTCGCGACGCAGGATCTCTTCGGACTCGCGGAGGTTGCTGCGACGCAGGAACTGCAGCACGGCCACCAGCGTCTGCCGGTCCAGCGCCGCCGAAGAGGCGGCCGGGCCCGGTGCCGAGGGCTTACCGGACGATGCGTCCCCGGCGCTCCCCGCCGTCTCCCCCTCCGCCGCCGCGGCCGACGGAGCGGGGGGGGCGGCGGTGGCGGGGGGAGCGGCGGGGGGCTGTGGCGGCGTCCCCGCCTCCGGGTCCGGCTTCACCGCGGCAACCTCCGCCGGCTCCTCAGGTACCGCCGCCATCTTGCATCGCCCCCCATTCGCCGGTGGCAGGCGGCTGCCGCCAAGCGCGGATGTTTTTGCAACAGTCAGGGCAAAGGAAGGGCACCGCCCTCTGTGACTGGCAGAGCGCTCGTAGCTTCATTTTGCGACGCTGCCGAGAGGGCTTTACGGCAGCGAGGTGGTCTGGGAGCGCAGTACGCCGCGTTCGGCGGTGATGCTCCGCGGGCGTCCTGCAGCAAACACGGACCGGTGATCGCATGGGCGCAAACCGCGGGACGGACCGCTGCTTTCTGTGCGGGTATGCGAGAGATCATATTCAAAGTGACATTGATTTTGTATTAAAAAATCAATGCCGCCTCTGGTATCCTGCTTGGAGAAGACCAACGATGTCTCTAAGACTGTGCCATTACGAGGTTGATTCCGAATTACAGCCGGTCACGTGCTTTCCCAGCTTTCTGTCTGTTAAAATCAGGATCCTTTGATATTACAGAATAAGCGCTTGAAAAAAACAAAAAAATCCCCTATCTTGTGGCTGACGTGCTTTCTAGATGAATTACACGCCGCACCGCGTTAGCGAGTCACTTGATTCTTAGCAGTAGGAGCGAAGAGCGTAGAAAGGTCCTTAGGCAAGAACGCTGTCAAGCGTAACAACGGCGAGAGCCGTGCCCGCTAAAACTACAGCTCCCAGCACGCCTGCTGCACATGCGCTGCGCCCGCCGGCCCGCAGCCACAAGCGCTGCCCGCGCGTGCGCGGTCGCCCCCGGCGCCGGCTCAGCTCGCTCCCCGCCCTCAGCCCGAGCCATGGACGCGGAGGCGGATGCGGGCTCTGTGGTTTCGGGGCTGTCGGGAGGGGATGGTGCCGGCGCGGGCCCCGCCGATGAGGACCAGGAGATGGAGGGAGCCCCCGGCTGCTCGGGGTCGCGCTCTCTGCCCTTCGAGTTCGAGCGGAGCCGCTCGGAATCCAGCGGCGATGAGGACGATGAAGATGACGAGGAGGAGGAGATGGAGGAAGAAGAGCTCGAGGGGGACTCCGGGGTTCGCTTTGGTACAGACGACGGCGAGCTCGACTCGGACGACGACCGGGAGGTAAAGAAGAGGAAAGGTGTAAAGGCGGGGGAGCGCTGAGCTGCGGGCGTCCGACGGCCGTTGGCGCGGCAGGCAGGCCCAGCTCCCGGCATGCACCGCGCGGCTCGTGCTGCTCGAGGCGGCGGCGCGCGCTGAGGGGGGGGGGGGGGGCGGGGCAGCGGGTTTGTGCTGCCTGCTGCTGGGGGCTTGGGAAGGCTGCCGGGTGCGAAGAGGCTCTTTTGTTATTAGCCAGATCCCTTCTGTCTGCTTTAAACGATGCCTTTGTGCTTAGTTGGTGTTGTTGAAATGGTGGATGCAAAATGACAGACGTGATCAAAGCGCGGAAAGCCCTCAGATCTGGCTTTAAGACTGGAGCAAACAGCGTGCTAATGTCACGCGTTGGCCTTCTGGGGTACAAAGCTGCTGTCATAGCCACTGCCGTGGGAGAAATTTGTTCTTTCCCAAAGTAATGGGCTTCTGGGCAAAGCTGGGAGAGCTCCTCGTGTGCGTTCCTGATGAAGTACTTCATTACCAGAATATAGGGCAGTGAAACTTCATTCCTTGCTTCAGTATTTAGCTGTATAGGAGCAGGAGGCAGCACTAAATCTGCCTCTTGACTGAGGGCCTCCATTTGTTTCAAGTAGTGATTTATTTTTTTTTTTCTTAGTGATTGTTTTTTTACAGAGCTTATTCAAAACAACTCATCCCAAAAGTTTGTTTGCTTTTAAGGTACGATTAATGAAATAAATCACTGCTCACAGAAAGATCAATTCTGAAGACTAGACAAAAGTCTTTAGCATCATAGAATGGCTTAGGTTGGAAGGGACTTCAAAGATCATTGAGCTCCAGCCCCCTGCTGTGTGGGCTGGATTACTGCACACTAAATCTGGACCTTCTCCAGCCTGGCCTTAAATGCCTTCAGGGATGAGACATCCAAGGTGTTAGTCCTCTTTTTTTTTTAATTGTTCATGGTTTCAGGTTGCAATATTTTGGAAGCTGAAATTGTGTAACTTCATGGCTTTACCTCTATTTTTAAATTCTTGTCAATTGTTTTTGTTTGTAGCGTATGATAAACCTGGCAGAGTTGACCCCTTACATCCTGTGTTCCATCTGCAAAGGTTACTTTATTGATGCTACAACTATTACAGAGTGTCTGCACACCTGTAAGTACCAGTGCTTCCATTCTAAGAACCTAGCTGCAAGTGCGACCAAAAAACAGATATTCAGGTGTTCTGACTTCACAAAGATAATCTGCTATTTGAAGCTAACTGTCCTTAAGGAAAACATATTGATGCTTATATCAAACATCAGAAAATCATTAACTCTGTCAAAGATGAAGTCAGCTTACTAGGTTAGGAGGGAGGTAGGGAAGAAAGTGTAGGGAAGGATGAAGCCCAAGTAAAATGAAAATAGAACTGCTACATATGTTAGGTATGCATAAAACACATGAAAATTAAAACACATGAAAATTGCAACACATGAAAATTGCAGAATTATTTCTTACCTTGGTTGTTTGTCTGAAATTGTTTGTAGGATGCTTTTCAGGAAACCTTTTATCTGTAGCAGTCAGTCTGTTGACATAACTCTGCTTTTGTCCTGGGTATTGCACTTAGAACGTTAAACACCTACCTTTGTACCAGTAGGATTATAAACCTACGTGTTGTATCCTGTGAACGGTACAGGCAGTTTGTTAGTGTTTGTTAGTGCTGCTGAAATACTTCATTTTATTTCTAACAAACTATTTGACAAATCTGAATGCTTCTCTTGCTTAAGCAAATGTCACTGTAGAACGGACATGTGACTTAACAAGATTGTATTTTATTCTTTTACAGTTTGTAAAAGCTGCATAGTGAGACACTTCTACTATAGCAACAGATGTCCAAAATGCAATATAGTTGTGCATCAGACACAGCCCCTCTATAACATCAGGTAATAACTCCGTTGCACTTCTGTAGGCATAACATCACATTTTGCATTTGCTTTTGAAAGTATGATTTTACTGCCTGTAGTGCTTTCCAGTTTAGAATGAAGATACAGTTACAAGGAAGACATTTGTTTTTGTGAGTTTAATCTCAACAGTGAAAATAAAATTATTCAGTTTCTTTCTCTTTTCCAGGGTTTGTTTACCCTTCCACCCTGGGTAATGTTGTGCAGTGTTGTAGATTATGAGAGAAAGATCTCAAGCTATTTGCTTTGGATAGACCCGTCTTTGTTGGCACGGCATTAGTATTTACTAATTCTGAAAATGGAGTTTCTATTTACTGAACTGTTCTTGCAGGGTGTTGCTGCTATTTTTTTTTTTTTTTTTTTTTTTAAATATGGCTTCTATCAGAGCTCTCTTGGCAGGACATGAATTTAGGCAGGTGGAGTTGCTGCTCTGTCTCTTACATACATCATTTCAACAGTGTATTTAGCAGTTTTGTTGCAGTTTGGTGAAATAGAGAATACTTTACATTAAAGACTTCTTTTTTTCTCTTTGATAGACTGGACAGGCAACTACAAGACATAGTCTATAAATTAGTTGTCAATTTGGAGGAAAGTAAGTCCATTTCTTTATTTTATTGCCATCTAGAGGTTGGAACGAGTAAGCAGAAAGGGCAGTAATTCAAAGTCCCATTTTAACTCTGAGCTCCTTAGAAACAGTTTCACAACATTTGGTTATCAATCCTAATGAATTACCTGTGCAAACTGCATTTTTCTGGCTGCTAAGTTCTGTTACACATGGCTGTGTGTACCCTGGACAGGTCTATATGTGTAAAATGTAACACAATATACAGCAGTGATCTGGAAGTTCTATTTTTAATCAGTACAATGAAACAGTTGTGGTGCTTAAGTGAGCCTTGTTAATGGTCCTAAATTCCAATTCTAGGTCTGGTTATTTGCAAGCTAATGTGCATTTTGTTTTTAAAATGGCAACTTTTTTGTTTTGTTTTGTTTGTTTGTTTGTTTCCTGAAAAACATCACAGCAGGAAAAAGCCTCAATTCTGATGCTGGACACTGCAGTTGTGCTGAAGATGTTTTGGTTTGTTTTCTATCTCATGCGAAGCAGCTGTGACTGTTTCTGGGTACACATTCAGATCATTTTCCACAGTCACGCTTCATGCAAATAAAGAAAATATCATTTTGTCTAATTATGAGTTCATTTGTCTCAGGAGGAGCCAAAAACAAACTGCTGGGACTGACAGGTTCTCTGAAATCTTGTTTTTTATTGTTTGATTTTTTTTTTTTTAATCATCAAAGCTATGATTTTTATTTTTTCCTTCTGATTATGTACATTCACTGTCCATTAACTTGTGCTTGGGGAGCCATTGAATCTATGCTGTCTGCTCAGAGGGACTGTGTGTATGGACTGTAAGTGGTATAGATGTAAGAGGAGTAACAGTCAGAAGGATACTGCTTTGTGCACATAGTTCAGTATGAGTTTTGTCCAACTGCAAGTTTTTTGCTAAGCGTGGGTGTTTTAAGCAGCTGAACTTTGAATGGAATACTAATGATAATGAACACTTGTTGGCACTTGGAAACGGTTTCAGTTCTAACCAGTGGAAACTGTAAGTTCTCAGCATCTGAAATAACATTTCAATCTATTCAGTGGTTTTTGTTTTTTGTTTTTTTCAGGAGAAAAAAAACAAATGCATGACTTCTATAAAGAAAGAGGATTAGAAGTGCCCAAACCAGGTGAGCTATAGTCATTTAGAGGATGTCATTAAGGAGATACTTACTATCCCATTTATTTTTAGTAGTTTTCCTTGAAATATTAGCTCACAACTAAAGTAAATTTGTAGTGTTGGGAATGTGAGATTCAAGTTACTAAAGTAGAACGTGGAAAATAGCAACACTTAAACCAAGGTTGTGTTTGGGTGTTTTTACAGTTTGTATTTTACTTTTGCCCAGGCAAATTTGTTAAGTATGTGCTAATTGTATTTTCTAGCCCCTAGTAAATATTATGAGTTAAGGAAGTCTAATAGATAAGAACTTGAATGTCCATTGACAGGTGAGGGATTATCTTAGTTGTTTGTTTGATAGTAAGACAAAAAACATCTCTTTTGAGAATTGCTGTGCTGAAAGCTAACAAAATGCTGGCTCACATACACAGCAAGAAATGTACACAGAGCTGATTTAGTTTATTTAAAAAAAAAAAAATAGGATGAGTGTCATGGGCACTTTTTCCCTTTGAGCTCATCCGTTTTGGTTGGCACATGTTAGCATCTTATTCTGTTTTTATTTCAAGCTGTGTTTGCATTTTGGCTGTTTGAATATTGTAGCTGTCCCACAGCCAGTTCCAGCAAGCAGAGGAAGACCTCGAAAAGTTCTGGGCTCCGTGTTCCGGATCCCACCAGAACTTGACATCTCAATACTGCTCGAATTCATTGGGTGAGTTGTGGACAAATGTATGGGCAAATTGCTGATGCGAGGGTTCTGCTCATGTCTTGAACTGTTTTGGGCTGTTTGTTTTCGAGTGTTTACTACTTTCATCTCAAGTAGCAGATGGGAGGCTGTTTTTAGCTTACTGTGTAATAGCAGTAGTCAGTTTTGCATATCTAGGTGATGCAGATAAGATATTTAAGATGTCTTTTTATGAAAATAGATTTCAAAAAAGCTTAGAGCCTTAAAATTTGCATTCCTTTTATTTATTTTTTTAAAGTAGTGTAGTCTTGGTAAATGGAATAACCAAAATTCCTGTCTCTTATGGTTCCTTCCACCCTGTAGGTGGTGGCAGTACTGTTAGTGATGACTGTACTAGGTCTTGGTCATGTAACTAGGGGACTGCAGTTGTACATGACATTCTGTTATAGCCACAAAAAACTGTATTCTAAGGATGGCTCACCAGGCAGGGGTGTGGGGAAAGGGAAGCAAAGAAACATCTCTGAAATCACTGTGGTTGCAGTATTAGTGTTTGGGGCATTACATTTCCTACAGGGTAACAGCACATGCAGATGAGTGACCAGAACACTCTGGTCCTGGTTACAAATTGTAGTGTAAATCTGACATGTGCCCGGGGGAGTCCTGTTTCTGCTTTGCCGAGTAATATAGAGCTCATTGTAGCTAAGTTTTAGCAGTTCAGTATTTGCAGACAGTGTGCACAAAGCCACAGTGCTGCTTCAGTAAAAGAAATGTGTTCTTGATGGGATGTTTTCCAACATTTAGGGGTTAAGAGCATCTCTGACAGTGTGCTGGGAACTTGAGACCTGCAATGAGTTTGTTAAATGCGATCAATGGCAGTTAGACAATTCACAGGAAATTATATTCTAAGTGTATCTGGCCAAGACAAGGTAGGAAACCTGAGCAGCAAGAGTGGCATTCCCCTAAATGTTTTAGGTGGGACTAATAATGTAGTCTGCTGTCAAGTCTGCCTGACAGTTTCTCAGACTTGAATGACTTATAGCTGAAGCTTTTTTTATGAGACATCAACTTTAGTCATAGCTCAGGGAGGGGAAATTCCAGCCCAAACATTGGAGCTGTTTTCAGGAACATGGGAAGCAGGAATTATATTGCTTTGCCTATCTGCAAATTTTCACAACAGTGACTGAGAAATTATTATGCGTGGAATAAAAGCTGTAACAACTGAGAGCGCTGCACAGAACTTGAATTGATGGGAGGAAGTGACTTGATTCTTGTACAACACATGCAGATGGCCTCTGCTTTTGGCCTGATTGTTGACACAGTGTTCTGAGAACTTGCACACGTAATTGTTGCAAATTTATACAAATGAGGTAAAGTGTTCAGAACTTGGGAAACTCTAGCAGCAAAGCATGCCAACCTGATTTGACCTTACTTTTTGTAGAGATTGTGTCCTTGCCTTTTTGCCTCTTATGTCCAGTGTTTCTACTGTATTTTCTTGAATTCAGAGTGCAGAACTTTGATGTAGCTGTTCTGGCTTGTTTATTATTTGCGTTGCCCATTGTGTGGGTTTTGTGTTTTGTTTTGTTTTTTTAAATCCTTTGGATAGCTCAGACAGGAGATTGCAGTAAGAGAAGTTTTTTGAGCTAGATGTCTACAGAAGAATCCGTGCCACTGCTATAGAATATGCTTTTATCTCCACTTAGTTGAATTCCATGTTAGTTTTCTGCCTGCTTGACTATCAGGAGCACTTTGTGCTCACGTGTACATTTTAAAGCAGTGAGAGTCATGACTAAGACTGTACTATGAAGTGTTCTGCAAACAGATTCAGTTTCAGATGTCTCAGATTGAGCATTGTTACGTTTCAATGCAGTCTCTGTCTTAGATTCCTCTTTTTAAACAATGTATTACATTGCTATTTTGTTGAGTAGGATGATGTGGAACGCATCATGATGTGGAACCAAGAGTCATATATTGTACAAAGAGAGTGAAGCAAAGACACAATTGTTCAATGTGTGTTGTATAGAAAGCAGTGTGACGGATGCTCATTCTGGGATCTGTCAGGTAGCAGCCAGTGCTGTGCTGGCCCACCAGGTGGCAGAAGGAACTTGCTCACACCAACAGTGCCTTCACTTGAAGGTGTCCTATTGCCAGTTACCATGTAAAATGACTTCAAATAACTGAAATTGGATTCCAGTTATGTCCCTTTCAGATTGGGACACTGTTTCTTGATCACTGTGTGGAAAGCTTTGTTACGTTATCTTGTCTGCAGGATCAGATACAGTTTGAATTAATTGTGGTGAAAGTACTGTGATTTAGAGCTCCACTGTCATGGTTCCTGGTTACTCCCACTGTGGCCCTTGGTGATTCTCAGCAGGTACATTTTTCTTTTTTGAAGAGTAAGAAGAAATAGAAGGGCAATTTATACCTCAAAATGAATTAAACATGTATATGCCTGTGTGTAGAACAAGATGGCTTTTGAATCTGTGTTGCATTTGTTATTCTGGCAGGTTTAGGTCAAGTTTCTATTGTAGTCTAGCACCAAGGCAAGTGCAATTGTGCAAATACAATCTACAGTATGCAGAACTGTCCTCTGCTTTCATTACTTAGATGGAGCGGTGCCCAGAAAGATTCACATTAAAGAAGGATATTGACTTAATGTCTGTTTTGCAATTTGTGTTAGGGTGTGTTTTTTTTTTAAATGTTTGATCTTATTTTTATGTTTAAGGCTTAATCTGTTTTCTTCAAAGATCAAAATCAAAGAGCTTATCTTGGCAGTGAGATGTTAAAAAAGCTCTTTGGAGAAGGGAAACTTGGAATAGATGAAACAATCCAGCAGTAATTGTTACTTTGTAAGCTTTAAACTATGCATGTATTTAGATGTGTTAAACCATCTCCTGAAACAGTGGAACTGTATCAAAATAGCAAGAGTGGAAAAGCTTGTCTGTTTGCTTCCTAGTAACTTTACATTTCAATTCAGCGGCAAAAATTGGTAATGCTTCTACTTAAATCTGTTTGATAGCTAATTACAGGAATCTGAAGTGCCATGCTAATTTGTGGTCTGCACAAGCGTTGCACATTTGTTTGCTCTATTAAATGGTCAGTAGAAATATTGTCAATTTATAGTGATATTTCTTCTTAGCTCTCTCCAGCACAGTGAAATACTGTATTTTACCTCTGTCATACATATGCACTTGCTAAAGTAATGCAAGAGTAGTGAAACGTCATGTATTGAGCTTAATTCACTGAGAAATTTGTATACTGTGCTATGAGGTGGGGATGCTGTATGTAGATAAGTGGGAGCTCACATGCTCAGGCTGTGCAAATCAATGAACCTCCATTGTGGGCAGCTGGGAATTTGGTCATTTTCCACCTCTGTGTATGTTTGACCTGCCAGAAAAGTTCCTGCAGCTTTCCTGAGTTCCTAGACAGCATTACTACTATTAATCTTGTAATTATAGTCTGGAAAGCACTGAAAGCCTCTTTGGTATTTGAGTGCGTTCGGTCAGTAGCTTCTAGGAACTGTGCATTAAGGTTCCAACTGTTGAGGATGATGAAGTATGGATGTTAAAACAGCATTGATATTACAACTTATTCCTATGAAAACTTATATTGCATGTAAAATATGGCTTTAGTGAGTATTGCTTTTTTTCATTTCATGTAGATAAAGTTTATCAAAGTCCTAAGTAACTGAATTCAAAAGAAAGAAGTGGGATACCAAGTGAAGGCTAGGAGAAGAAGATGAATAACTTTTGGCTAATGTTGTTTCATATACTTGATTTTAATGGAAGGAAAAGTCTGATTTTAAAAATGAGCTTGATATGCCAGGCTTATAATTTAATAGTCATTACAATAAAGAGCTTGAGGGTGTTACTAATTGTTAACCTTAGCAATATTGATTGTGTTTTCTCTTGTTTTTCAGAGCTAACGAAGGCACAGGGAATTTTAAGGTGCAGATGTGATTTGAACTTTTCTCTTACATGATTTACTTCAGAAATATGTACAACCTGAATGTATTTAATTTAGTTTGTCTTTATTTTTCTTACGTTGAGTACAGCCTGAACTTTTAGCAGCATAATGGAATACAACATATGTTCAAACCTGTTTGTTGTATAGCATCACAGAGTAGAAAGCGAATGCTTCCAAGGCTGAGGAATTAGATATGGCAGGAGAGTGGGAATGATGTCAGTGAAACTTCACTTGAGTAATTCTAGGTTATTATTCTGGCATTTCCTACCAAAAGGTGCATTACTATGGCTTTTCTTGGAATACTAGGCAGAAGTGCAGTCCTCCTCTAAAAAAGTTTTTTCACAGCTAGACATACTTCAAAGCTTGCCCAGGTTACTCAGAGGAAGCATTACCCAAGGTATAAAAAATGGTAACTTTTTCTACGTGGTTGAAATTGCAACAAAAAACAATGCAAATTTTCTAGACAGCGCTTCCATAGCTTGCAGCAAACGGCTTTCCTGCATCCCTTCACTAACAAAGCTAGTTGTCTCAACAGTGGCAGTTCTGATGAGTAAGAAATAGCATTCCTACCATCCTGAAGGGTATCTTTTCTGCTGTGCATCATTATACTGAACTGAATTGGTTGACATCTGTGGATGCACTGCTTGCTGTTTAATGCCTGCATTATTTCATAGGCTGTAACTAGAGATTTGCAGAGTATGCTCTTCCACTATTTTGGCTAAACATCTAGAAAAGAAAAGTCTGTTCAGGGCAAGGAGGAGATGTAATTCAAAGCAACACAGTGTATTTTGCATTTCATTGTTTTGGGGCTTGTAGGAATCAAAAGATGGAATGGCACAGAATACCAATGAGATGTTTTGCTGTTAGCAGCACCAGCAGAACTCCAATTTTGCTCTATAGTGATTTCAATAGAATCGTATTGCTAACTGAAATATAGATTGTCCTAATTCATTTTTTTTACTGATTTCCTTTGTTCTCAGCTCAGTTGATTTCTAATCAATATATTTTCAAGCACAAATCTGAAGTGTTGGATATGACAACAGTTATTTCTGGTACTTTTAAATACTAATGACACTTGGTATGAGAGAACTTGGGAGGCAATCTCAAAGTGTTAGGTAAATAAGATTTTATGTGCACAGAGTGTGAAAACTTAAGTTCAGTTTCACAAATAGAAGTTTTTCTATAGAACAGAAGCAGTATTTCTAAAAATGTACCTGCCAATTTTATTCACTTGTTTTTCCAAGCACCAGCCAGCATTCTGTATGTTCTTTTTTCTCCTTATCTATCACGCTATTTTATTGTTTTTTTAATGTTCTTGTTTTTACATCACCTCCAATCCTTCATGTCTCCAATTTGCCTTTTTTTCTGTTGTTTTTTTGTTTGATTTTTGTCTTCTCCATTTTGGGCCTGCCACAAATGACTGTAGGGCAATTCAAATGTTTTATTAACCAGTGTTTTCTATTTATAAAATCTGTGTCAGGCATTTATTCTATCTGATATTCCTCATGCTGTTCCAGTAGGAATGGTTTTGCCTTTTAAAACATGTTTAGCTCTTAACATAATTAAAAAAATGAATTAATGACTCAGAAAAGGGATTTTGTGCGTATTCTTCCCTTTTAAGTAATAAATAGTGCATTTCCACTCAGTTTAATTCTAGTTCTCTGAGGATGTTGAAGGCCACAGGCTGCCCACCTGATCTCTCAGGGAATCATTGTGTGCTGCTCATAATGCCACCATCCATAGGCTGAAGTGCCGTTCTGCACAAGTGCCTATTTAGATTCCTGTATGTTCTTTATAGAGATATCCCATCTTCTAACAGGTATCTTCTACAGCATTTCCAATTTTTTTTTCCCTGCATATTACCTCCCTGCTTCAATGTATTTTTTTTCTTTTTGTATCTTCCTGTTTTCTATTTCTGTTTCATGATCGAGAGGTTTACTCATCTACCTTCCAAGTCCCTCTCTTATCCATTTCTCACAAAACATACTCTAATTGCTTCTTGGTATTACTCTTTCCTCAATTACTTATTCAGAAAAAAAAGTTAGATTAGACATGGAATTAATGTATTAAAGTGGTTTTTGTTGTTGTTTTGTTTTTTTTCCCTGGGGTGGATTGAGAGAACAAGTTATAAGGCTCATGGCCATAAACCTTTGTGCACTAAGTGTAAACCTGGTATCGTCAAGCTTTCAGCCAGCTTAGGCTCCTACTCTGGTCCTGTTGGCATTTCTAGCTCTTACACATGAATAAATCAAACTGTTGCTCCAAAAGTACAGTTATCATGGATAGATATTTTAATTCATGATTGAATTCAAGGGTAGTCTTTAGACCTCTGTGAGCTTTCCATCAAGTATTTATTTTAATTCATTGTTTAATTAAGGGGTACTCTTTGACCCTCTGCTCTGACTTTTTTCAAATTGAAAGAATATGATGAAGCTAAATAGTAAACCACAACTGTTCAGAAGTTAATGTAAATTCAATTAACTGACACAAATGGAATCCATTTATCATACTGAATGCAGTCATCTGCTCTGCCTTTGTGCCCATTTGCTTAGCTGCCCATATTATCAGTCAGCTGTTCAAAATTTTATCCACAGACAAGAAACCCATTAAAATCTTTGAGGCTGACGTGATAAATGTACTCTTGTTGAAGTCCTTGCTAAGAAAGTATATGGAAATTATATGAAAAGCCCATTCTACTATTTTGGTCCTTGTGTTCTGCATAGTATTTTAATGTATTCTGGTATTTTATGGACTGTTAATTCCAACCCAATCCACAATACTTCTAACATGCTAAGCAAGTTAAGTTCCTTGCATTACGAAATGATAGCATTTAACTGTTTAAATTCATGTCTGATGTGCAAGCCCAGCATGGAGAAAAGCAAATCTTAGGAAATCTCTCATGCTTCTGAATAAATGCTTTTTAGAAGCAGAGAGGGGTTGAAGGGAAGAGTTCTTGAAATGCTCTGTAATACCAATTTATGTGAATTAATAGGAAATCCCATTCTCCTTTATTTCAGTAGTGAAATAGGACTGAAGTCAATAGTTACTTTTAAGTGTTGTTTCAAACAGCAGAAAGTTTGAGTGCAGAATCTGTTAATACACAGTCCTTTCCCTGTGAGGTAATCTGGAAATAGATCCAAGAGAATTCCAAAACATGAGCTGTCTTCTGCAGTTAGTGGGCCTTCAGTCAGGTTTGGGGATTGCCAGGAATGATGGCTGAAAATATACAGGGTCTTAAGATCATGTGTTTATTCTTTGCAGCCTTTGGAAAAGAAGTTTGTGCGTGTTTCAGGGGAGGCAACGATTGGACATGTGGAGAAATTCCTCAGAAGGAAGATGGATCTGGATCCTGCTTGTCAGGTACGGCACTTACAGGGGCACTTGCTAGTTCACTATGATCTAATGCCTGTGCCTCTGTTGTTGGTTAATGCAGAAGTAGGAGGAACTCTCCCAAAAAATTTGCAATGTGTTTGAATTATCATTATTTTGTGTATGAAGTTTCTATAGTGTCATGTAAGATTTCAGCAGGTGAAATTCAAAGCAAAGAATAACCTGCTGTTTCAAAGATAAAATTGAGTAGGTAGATGGGGAAGTGTATGAATGTGAGAGAATATGAAGGCAGAAACTGAGAGAGGAGCAAAATGTCAGTAAAATCAAACTGTACATTGAAGGAAGCAAACAGGGTTTGAAAGTCGTGAATGGACGTGTTAGAATGAAAAATATGAATACAAAGGTAGGCAAATCTTTTAGATTTTGGGCTCATCTAATACACTAAACTTGAGATATATTTTTTTCTGTTCATTACTTTGAGTTAGGAGAAAATGAGGTTTATTTTAACGTGTTTTTTTCCTTTGAAGTCATCCTGCATCATATTTGCATTCCTGCAGGTATGTGTGTAAACTGCAGCCTGCGGGGTAAGATTGGAAGAAAGTCTGTTCTCATACAGTGTCATTGCTGATGCAGCCTCTTAGTGCCAGTCTTAGCCCTTGGAACAGATGTTTCTGGTACCTTAGAAAGGCAAATCGCAGGTTTTGAATAACTCTCCCAAATACTCATGGTGACCTCCAAAACTGTTTTCTTTGTCCTTCCCTGGGTTGTCATAGAAACCATTGATTGAGATCTAGTGCTTTCTAGGCCAAATTTTCTCTTGGGGTTGTCCCTTATACGACCATTTTCCTTTTTAACTTCATCTTACTTGGTGAGTATTAATTTGTAATTGCCTGTTACCATGTTCTTGTGGGGGAAATGGCTCTTGAGTGCAGAAAACATGTCACCTAATAGATGCCCATAAAGACTACTTTGTTTTAATCCGATTTTTGAAGTTGTGTTTGAGTTAACTAGCTGCCTGTTCATTTTTCCCTTAAGCAAAAGGCCAAGCTGTATTCAGTGCTGCCTCACTTGTCAGTACTGTTAGCTGACAACAGTTTTACCAGCTCGTCAAGACTAAAGTAGACTCACATCACTTGTGTTGCTGGTGCCTCTTTCATAACAGAATATAGTAATTTCTCTAAGGCACGAGGATTCCTTAGAGACATGGATTTTGCAACTGATTTCCACACTGACCTCGGATTTTTCTTTTGTGGCTTTTTTTTTTGTCATTACAGAATGAATCTCGGTATAACAATTAGCAGGCAGAAATTTTGGCTTTGGTGCTAGAGTGAGAGGATTAGGAAATAACATGAAGAGCATATGAGGAGGTGAATGTGGGGAAAAAAAAATCTGTTAGAAGACACTGAATCTTTAATAACTGCTATTTGAAACTGGGGCAGCAAGAGGGTCAACTATAGGATATTTTGAATCAAGAATTCTCATTCTGTTTTGAAAGACTGTCAGCAGTTGCCACCTTGTTTACATCCTATATTGAGAAAATAAATATTTTTTTCTCTTTCTACAGAAAATATAAAGTGTGCATGTAAATATTTATATCAGTGAGAACAAGAATGAATTTTCATTTACAGTATGAAAATTGTGAACATAGCTTTTAAAGGAGAAGTCATTAAATTCATACATCACTGGAAAACAAGGCAGGCAAGTCTGTCTTCCTATAGTAATAACTGTAGAGGCTAGAATGCCAGGGAAACAGGAGAAATAACTGAAAACCACTAAAAAAAAAAAAAAAGTATTTTACAAACATATCCAACTATGTATGTATTTGTTATATATATGATATCAACATTTAATGTTACATCCAGATTGACGTTTACTTGCTGGCTTCTTCCTGGAAGCTAAAAGCAGAAATAATACTAAGCAGTTTATATCATGTGTGCTTTCTGGAACCAATATTTAAGATTTATTCTGCTAGAAATGGAGTATTTCACAACATTCTCATAGTATATAAATGAATTTATCTCTAAGGATTAGAATTCTGTTGTTCCCAAAGCTAAGAACAATACAGTCTGCAAGCATGAGACACAAATGTTTCTAGATTTTTTTCATGAAGAGTAGGAGAGAGATGTCAGTGTGCAAAGGAGTGTATGTACAGACAGATTGAGCAGCTGAAGCACAAAGTGTAGTGGGCTGCAAAACCTTGTAAGAGGACAGGTAACAATATTGCAGTATATACTCCCTGACCACTGTAGTGGCAAAGCATAAACTTGTCCCTCCCTACAGCTACGTAACAACATGCTGACAATGCTTTTATCTTTGAGGTTTGATCATTGTAATACAAATGAAAGCCCTCTCTAGGAATTGCTGAGAATGAGAATATAATAAAGCTGCAGTTGTGAGAGGAAACTGCTGGATTGGTTGCTTCTAGTAGAGAAGCTTATTTTTTTGTAATAGACAAGGTGAAAGGAATCTGGAGTGCCTCACTATGAATCTCTTTTTTTTTTTTTTTTTTTTTTTTTTCCCCCAGAGTAACACTTCTTGTGCACAGCTACTTATCAAAAGTGCTTTCTCTGGAATTGCAGACATTGTTGATGTAGTTAAGCTGCAGTTGAGGATGCTATTTAGGATTGCTGAGTATGCCCGTTTCTTCCATCACAGAAACACTGATTACATTTTAAAGAAGGACTGTGTGAGAAGTACTTGCTGACAATACTAGTATACTAGTGGTATACAGTGAGCTTAATGTTTTTTATTCATATCTTTCTTCCAAGCAGTCTTAAGCAAACTTACTCATGTGTTTTGTTGCTCAGAATAGGAGTGAGGGTAGTACTGGCACATTACTTGCCATAAGCACTGACAACTTGCCCTTTTTTGCAGATAATGAATGACTCTGGGTGTTTGTGTGATCACTTTAATGTTTAAATATAACTTCCTATTTTATCCATCACAGCTATTCCTAAACGGTTTGGGTTTGTTTCTTTTTTGCAGTGGGCTCACCCAAGTGAAAGTGAAGCAAACTATCTTCTCCATTCCAGAAGTAAGCCCCAACTTGGGGGATGGAAGGGAGCTTTAGGGCAAAGCATAGTGTTACGCGTGCTAAATGCATTTTGACAGCAAAGTTAAAGATTTCTGTAGTGTCAGACATGCTATGGTGGAATTCTAAGCAGCTTTAGTTTTACTTTATGAACTATCAAATTTAAATGGCTTAGATATTGTCCTGCTAGTCCAAAGTCAAGTTAAACTTGACAATGTTTGTGTTCTTCCGCAGGTAGACATAATATGTGGTGATCACCTGCTAGAGCACTACCAGACACTGAGGGAGATCCGGCAAGTCATAGGAGAGAGTGCTGTACAGGTATGTGTGGCAGCTGGGGCTTTATGCTGTTTTAAAATAGGTTAAGAAATATTCTATCAGGTAACACCAACTTAGCAGAAGAAGTTACTTACAAAAACTTTCATCTCACGCAAATTGTTCTTTATATTGTAAATGTAGTTGAGAAATATATCAGGTAACAGAAGTGTTCTCGACGGTTTGAGGATGTTCTGGGTACAAAATTGTTCTATTCTGAAACAAGCTGCTGTCTTACCAGTGATACAGCCGTTCTTTTAAGTAACATTTCTTGTTTTTCTTCCTGGTGATTGCATCTCTGCTGCAGATTATCAGAGTGCTGAAGTATCCCACATAAGGCCAAGGATAACCTTGAGTCTGTACAAGGGAGTATCAGGGGAACAGTTGCTCATAAAAGCACAAACCAAAGATGCATGATAGTAAGTGCAGTTAATGTCCTTGATGCATGTTATACAGGTCCTGATCAGAGCTTGAGGGTAGCCAACTATTTTTTTTATCAGTAATTTACTATGTTAAATGCTGCTGGCTCTGCAAGTAAGAAAACCTTTTATGTCCTTGGGAATCTCTCCAAACATCTTTATAATGGCAAGGGTCACACCATTTCATAAGTACAACAAAGCCAATGAAATAATCTCCGCAGTGCTTAGTAGGATATAGAAGTAAAACCATGTTGTGTAAATAGCATATTAATCCTAACCTGGCAGTTTGAACAAATTTTACTGGTTCATCAACTACGGTGGGGATGAATGGGGTTTAGGTTGGTATTGTATTTGGAAAGCAACTTAAGTAGATGACACAGAAGTTAAATTGGCACATTCAGTTCTCATGACTTGTATGTCTGTGTGCACTCACAATCCAGAACACTTAAGTTTCATGTTGAGCCCTTTTATGCTATAAGAGGGATTCCGTGTCAGGGGCAGTGGGTGGAAAGCCAGTTTCAAGGTGTCCTGGGTAATGCAGCACCTGTACCTAATTTGACTAACCAGGAGAGATCCCATAGTCAGGGCGGATGATACAGATCATGCTACTGGCAGAAAGTGAAAGTCTTTAAGGCTTCTGGTGTGTATTATGGCTTCTGCAGCCAAAGGAAGTTGTGTGTCAAACTTGATGTCTTGGCTGTTCATCTAATAATATGAAGAAAAACTTAAGATTTAACCTAACCCACATTAGGGAGTATAGAAACTGGGAGGAAGAAACCACTAGTAACAAACACACTTCTGACATAATGAGTTTATGGTAAGTACAACATGGAGCAGTCAACAAAAATAGTGATGGAAATACTCTATACTAAAAAGCTTCAGGAAATAGCAGGGGAATTATTGAATGTATGTAGTTTTTTATTTTGTCCTTGCACAAAAATCTTTTTATGTATGAAAGTGCTTTTGGGAAATGACTGTAATGAAAACTGTTTCGTTTTCATTTCTTATCAGAAGTGGATCTTCCTGATTGAAGTTCTGTGTTTGTCATGGACATGAGGAAATGGTTTTAAGTTGAAGGAGGGAAGATTTAGGTTGGATGTCAGGGGGAAGTTCTTTACAGAGAGAGTGGTGAGGTGCTGGAACAGGCTGCCCAGAGAGGTTGTGGATGCCCCGTCCCTGGAGGTGTTCAAGGGCAGGTTGGATGGGGCCCTGGGCAGCCTGGTCTAGTATTAAATGGGGAGGTTGGTGACTCTGCATGCGGCAGGGGGGTTGGAGATTCATTGATCCTTGTGATCCCTTCCAAGCCTGGCAATTCTGTGCTTTCATGCCAAAATAGGGTCTTCCTGATTGATGTTCAGTGCTAAGCACCAGTCAGCAACTCCACAAAGAATACAGTTGTCTAAGGATCTGTTCTCGAAGGGTTTATCAAATCTCATTATTACAAAATAAGTGGGCTAGTAATGATTTCTAGCAAGCCTGCTCTCTTGGGGAAAACAGAAGGAAGATCTTTGCTTTCTGCAAAGTTCTGTTTTCACTAGACCTAAAATTCAATGGTTTTCTAGGTCCAGTGAGACTGCAAGTACACAGGAATGTTTGGCAGGTTTTTTGATGTTTTTTTTTAATTAAGCTCGGGGCATCATCATAACCTTCCTGCCTCAGCAAACCAGTATTGCTGGAATTGTTCCTAACAGCTTTCACTAGGATGTTTTTCAAAACTGCCATTGTCATTGACCACGTTCTGATATTCATTGTAGATTATTCACACTGAGAAAATAGCTTCCATAGTTACTTAAACAGAGTAGTCCTTTCAGGGAGTAAACTTTGGGTTTGATTTATTAAGTACAGTCACTGTGAGAGGAGAAAAGTAACTGTTTTGAGTCCCTTTTTTTTTTCATGTGCATGTTCATTCATGTCAGCAGTTACTCTTTTTGCTGAGGAAAAGGGGTTTCAAAAATGCAGGTAAGTTTCACTTTGCCAAAGGCAGAAATTTAAACAAGCATTCTTAGCCATCTATATTGGAAGAGTTTCTTCAAGTTCAATGCAGCATATCTTGCACTGTTTGATTTATTTCTCTGGATCATAATCACTAAAATAAAAGTTTTTGAGACTTCTGTTCTCCTCAGTGGTCATTAAATAATCTTGGTTGCTCTGAAAATTTTTGGTTGGTTTGTGTGTTTGTTTTCTACAGAGTAACAATGTGTATCACTGCCTGCAGAGCATGAGTGAGGTAAAGCATCCGATAGATGAAAGCTAGCAGGATTTTAGGTTAATGTTAAAGCATCAGGTGTGAACTGGTGGTAAAATATTGGTTGCATGGTAACCGATTGGATTGCTGTAACTGGAGTAAATAGGAAACTAATTTAGTGGTTAGATGTAAACAATGAACGTGTTCATTTTTTAACAGCTTATAGAGGCTTAGGAGAAAAAGGAGTCAATCTTTCTTCACGCGTTTGTTCTTTATGGTGTTAAATGCACTTGTATGCAGCAATACAGTTCTGTGATACATGTTACATCCTGATAGTATTCCAGACACTACATTTTCTAAAACTGGGGTGATTGGTTGAATCTTTCTAATTATGTTGAAATGTGATTTTTTTTTTTTTCTAGTTTTACTAAGAGAAGGAAAATACAAATGTTGCTGCAGAAAATTAATATGAAAAGTAGCTTTGCTTAATTTTTATAATGGTGTGAAACTTCTGAAATTTACTACCAGTTCAAATTTACTGCAAGTAGAGCTCTACAAAGTAGAGTTCAAAGACTGACAAATCTTTAAAAGGCTGAGTTTTGCTACAAAGTGTTACAATTAGCCTGTGATTGAGTTTGATCACATGGCTGAGGAAGGAAGCTTGTTATTTATGGCCATGTAACTTCTTCCTTGCATTACTTTCTTTTCCTTTGCTGCACAAGTGCAGTGTGATCCCAGCTGCAGGTTGCTTTCACCTATCTGACTGCCCTTCTCAAAGCTCTGCATTGGTGAGGGATATGACAAATTCTCAAGTGGGAAAAGCTAAAAACTAAAATAAAAAAAATGTAGCTTCCTTTATGTCCCTGGCCCTTGGCACAGAGGTCTTGCAGGTGAGGTTTTTCTCTTTGCAGCTCTCGCCTTCTTGTAACCCAATCCCATTGTATTTTTCCAGTGTTTTCTGAACTGGGCTGTAAGAGCTGTGATCTAATTAAATTAGTGTGACCCTCTAGCACACATCTGCCATGGAAGTTTTTTTTTTCTTTTACTCTTTTTTTTTTTTTTTTTTGTGGGAATATTGAATGTGGAAAGTGGGGCACTTCTTGTTCCTGCTGCTCTTATAACTTCAAAAGGTGCTTATGCCATGATGTTTCTGTCAGTCAACTCACTCTAACACTTATATTTGGATTTAACAGGTGGAATCCTTTCCAATTTAGGTCAGGTTCACAAATGTGTGGCAAAAAGCCCTAGGGGCAGGAGCTGCTGTCAGAAGAGCTCGTACTTTCCTTTTCTGTTGGACACATCTGAGTACTCTGATTTGAGATCTGTAATAAGCAGTGAGGTCTCCTTCTCTTTGTTATTCTATCTCCAGAGAAAGCAGTTGAACAGACACAGAAATGTGTAATACCTAGAAAGTGAATAAGTACAGGGTAAGCAGTGCCACTGTTGGGCCATATCTCAGCTTCTCTTTGTACAGAAGTAGTTGCAGTGGGTTTGGCATTTAATTTGAGAAGGGTATTTCCCATGTAAGTAAGTCATTAATCAAAAAATGCACTGTAGCATTTCTGTCTTGTATTTCTTTACTTTAAGAAAAGTTTCCATAGAGGAAAAGCTGTGTTGATCACAGTTTTCCAAAAAAAAAGGAAGTTAGTCCTCCATTTTCCATGTAGAAGTAGCCAACGAGCAGCAAACCTCTGTGAAGGTATAATGACACTCCGTGCCAAGAGGTTGATAAGTGACTTTGAAGTGTCTAACAAAAAGTGAAGACAAACAGGATCCTGTCTCCACGTTACAACATAGTCATCCCACTTTGTTAGGCAGTGAGTAAATGAGGCAATGGAAGCTCGTTCTTCTTCCCATATCTATTTGAATTAGTAATGAATTTCCATTTACTAACAGAATGAAAAGATGAAGGAAAATAACCTGGCAGTACTAAAAACAGCAGTGAAACAGGAGGTTTCTTGCATTCTCATTCATTAAAGTTAAGATTGGTTGGCCACTGCCCTGCACTAAGGCCCTCTTTTGTCAGCATCCTTTAAAGAAAGGTGAAATGGCTGCATGAAATTCACAGTGCGTATTTGTTGTTGCTCTGAAGCTGTTTTTATCACCTGTTGTTATGCAGTTACCTGCCAGAACTAAAGAAAATCAGAGTAGAAGAGAGAGTTAAACACCTTATGCTCAGCTGCAGTTATTTTTTTCTTTGTGGCAGTGGAAGCAAAACAAAGCTGTTTTCTAATAAGTAGACATCTTTTAGACAGAACATCAGGGTGTTGGTAGGGGCTGTCTGAGAATAATTCCTAAGGGAAGAAAAAGAATATTTCATGGAGGTGTGGACAAGGGCATCTACTCACCTGCATCTGAGGTCGATTTCCTGATCTTAGATTTCCTGCAGTGCAAAGTGGCTTGGAGAGTTTTGGGTAGCAAAGGATACCAACTTGTCAAAAACATTTTTATACAGTGAATGAGCTTTTAATATTTATATTCTTCCAAAACACTGGTTAGACCACTGTCGTACTTCATGTGTCCTGTAGTATAATGCAGCGGTGGCATAAAGTGAAGACAGTCTTGGTACTTTTTTTAATATAATTGAAATGGTCTTTTTGTGGTCTTTAGATCTTTAAAGTTTGTATTGCTGTGATGGTTTGTTTGTTTTTAAAAATGTGCCCCCTCACACTGAATTACATAACTTCTCTGGAACATATATTAAGTCCTAAGGTTAATGGCTAAAAACATCAAAAGTAAAATATGGTAGGAAATGTTAATATGTTGTCTGTGATTAATGTGTTTCTCTCTTCAAAAGAAAACATTTATTAAAGCCTGTCTACATAATTAGTTCTAATGCAAGTCAGATCCCTGGGGGATCAGGAGTGGGAACAGGTTTCAGATGTGGAAGAAGACTACTAGATCTTTCACCAGCTGTGCAACTTAAGTTACATAAGTAAGATTTATTGTAATGAGTCAGGAAGTATTGTCTTGCAGGTGAAATGGTTTTTTTTATTAACTTCAGCAGAAGCACAGGGATTTAAACAGTGTTGTTCATCAAGAAGTAGGATGTCATGGTAAGCTGGCAGTGTGGCTTAACGAAGCTGGTGGAATTATTTGAATGTATTACTGACATATGCAGGACTCCAGCTAACTTGTAGAAATGTAAAGACAGTGCTTTTGTACTTCAAAAAAAAAAAGAGAGAAAAAGTGACTTGATCTTTTTTGTTGTCTTTCTATCTTAATCCCAATTGTCAAAAGTAACAGAGCCACTGAACAGTAAGCTGCAGCAGCCAGTAAAGGTACTGAAATTAGCATTAGGAGTTGGAATCCGAGTTCCGTGCAACAGGCAACAACGTTTCCTTCTTCTTCCTCAAATGTCTGTTTGACTTTTGGTGCCTAGAGTTAATGGCCAGAGTTTGGTAGCTGCTTCTAGAACTATTTAATGAAGTTATTTATTCTGCCTTGCTGTGTCATATGGGAAATGAGTTATAAAAGTATAAAAGTAAAGTGAGAGGGGGAAGTTTTTTTATCTGCTTTGGTATTTTATAAAACTTGTATCCCTGTTACGAGAGGGGGAGTGCAATGGAATGAGTGAGATTGAAACCACGCTGTGACTGTCACACCAGGCAGTGATGGGGATGCCGTGTGGAGAAGGCAGAGTGATCCAATAACAGTTTCTCTCCTCTCTCTAGGATGGCTTGCTTGTGCTGCACTATGGCCTGGTGGTATCTCCGCTCACCATTCCTTAGATTGCTACACTATCAGGACGTGAAAGAATCCAAAGTCATGAAGCTCCTTCACTGCTGTTTCTCACCAAAGAACGCCATCATGTTTTCTGTGACAGGAAGCAAGTAGAAGAAACTACCACTGACTGCTGTATGCTTGTAACTTACATCTGACTTTAGCACTGTTTTTTGTTTGTTTGTTTTTTAAGTGTTCAGTACATACAGCTATCAATTTTCACTTAGCTCAGGGACTTTAAATGCTCAGAGTTGCTGCATTTCTTTAAATAATTCTTAAACCCACAAGATCTCACAGGGTAAACAGGCTTTTTCCTTAAGCTATGGGATTTTGCTTACTTCCTAAGTGTCTAGCTAGAACAGTATTCTCAGGGATGATCTTCAGTGGGCAGTACACTGTATTCTGGGGTGGAAACAGTCACAGGGTGCAGAAAAGCTTGTAGTGATCATCTGACTTCAGATGTGATTCAGGAGAGGAAGGCGACTCTTCAAATGGAGACCAAAATAGGTAGGAAATGATGTCTCACAAACTTTATTCAGTTGTTTTTCTTGAAGAAAAACAATTTTGATTGCACTTGAAAAAAATTTGCTGGTAGTTTGACTTACATCAAGTTGTGGGTCACGCATCTCTAGTCTGAATGGAGGTGAGCTGGCTGTAAGCTGGTTAAACTATGCATGGAGGGGGGAAAAAAAGCATCACCTCGTTCTACCTGCTTGCTGTATTTTAAAATAGCCTAATTCTGCTGTCATGTAAAATCTGTCAGATGACTTGACTAGCAGAGCACAGTTTCCTTCATTCCAGCACACAGCTTTCTAGCAGTAGTGAAAAATGGTAGCTTTTTCCACTCTTCCCAGTATGTGTTAGTGAATTGTAGTGGAGAGTGGGTCTGAAGGGTTAAATAGCATAGTGTGTGCCTCTTCATACCGCCTTTATGGAGGGTAGTAGGTAACATTTTTGTTCATTTGTTTCAACGTATTAAATTACTAGGTTTTGGGACAGCTGTAGTATTCCAGTTCTGTCCTGTTGAAGTTTTTCATGGTCTCTTGTGCAGCATTAAGGAACAGAGCTTTCTGTGCAATGCTCTTGCTGCACGTTCTGTCTTATGTGTGGGGATTCATGAAAGCCACTGCTAAGAACCAGGGTGCCTCTATAGTCAGCGTAGTGAAGGGAAGAAGATTCCTTAGTGAGGCATTTTAGAGCACTTAAGTTAGCTCAAATGTGTTTGCTTACTGTCCTATTTGCTGCAGTGCTGTCAGCATACTAATACTGGCATTTCTTGTCTAAAGAAAGCTTTCATGAATCCTTCTTCAGCTCTTTACAGAAAGTGTTAAGTTTTGCCTGTGAAGGCAACACCACAAAAAAAAAAAGTCTTATTTGAAGTAGTTCTTGTGATGCTTCTAAAAAAAAAAGAACAAAGACATGTCTAACTATAATTGCCTATTTTCCCTTCGAAGTTTGTACAAAAGTAGTGTTTAAAATACATTAGAAAATTGATTGAATTATTTTGTAAAGACTTTGTGAGTTGTGTTGATAAGAGACTATATATTGTAATGGTAAAATAAAATTTATTTTAGCCAATTTTAAATTGAACACTTGTTTCCATTTCGTCTTCCCTTTTGTCAGCCTCTAAGTTGTAACAGTTCAACATTGAAAGTGCTGGATGTGCCCTGGTGTTGCTAGAATCACACATTTCAGTGAGAAAGCTTAACTATGAAAGATGGTTTAATATCAGAATGTCTACTGGAGCTAACTGGTATCATTACCTGGAATAAAATGAAATCTCAGATGAATTATCAACACAGATACAGGACAAATAATCCTGTAATGGAGACGTCATCAAGCCCCCTGTGAACCAGGTCTTTCTCTGCCACTCTGATCCCAGCTGTACACAAGGTGTCTGGCTTGACAATGCTGCCACTTCTTGTTTCATCACTACTTACTGTTTTGTTTTCTATCTGTAGCTCTATTATAGTTGTGTTTTATGTTGCAAATTCTTCCCTAGTCTGGGCTCAAACTTCATGCCTATCAAAGGGCTTTGCAGTGTTTAACAGGCATACAGAAGCTGATAGTTAATTCAAATTTGTCTGTCTAGGATAATGCTGACTTTTGCATAATCTAGCTAAACCATCTGCTAAATTGGTACTGTTCTGACTGAAGCAGTAACACTATCAGAGGTCTCTGCACTATCTTTACAGGGTTTATCCATAGAGTAAACCATGTACCATATAAAATGAAAAAGTCAAGACTTTCCAATCTTCCAGTCACTTAATGATAGAAGATCTACAGATAGAATGCATAAAACTGCATTCAGAAACAGGAGTGTTGCCTGGAATATTTTGTGTGAGCCCTTAGTGATGTTTTATTTCCCATTAATTTATTGTCTGCTTCTTTCTTTCCCTTCCTCAGCTGCCTCCATACAGCATATTCTTTGCAAAGTTGTCTTGGCTGAACATTTCGCTTTCTTCTACCTTAAAGTGTACCCTCAAGGCACTGATGCTTTACCTGCTCTCCAGCTCCTGCTGCACCCCCTGGGGTTCTGCTGTGACACACCAGTGTGCAGTGGGGCTGACCTTTGGCAGTTGTGGAGGCTGAAATGTGGGCTGTGCAGTTTCCCACATAATCAGCCCGCTTGCTTAAAAATGTGCCAATCTTCTTGCAGCTCTGCTGCTGCTGTTTTATTTCTGTTGGTCTCCTTTTAACCTTGGCTTTCCTCCAGCCACTTGTGGTTCTGATGATAGAATTGCTTCTGTAACAACAGGCCGCCTATGGGATGGCGTCTCTGCCCTTGTGGGACATGAGCCAGCCTCGTGCTCAGGAGGTGAGAGAATGTGGGCTTGGACTTGTGCGTTGATTTACGGACACTGTATCATTTCATTGCGTGATGAAATAGTTCTGGTCTTATTTTATGGTTACCTATTTAGAGATGACATGGCTGATTCTGAGCTTACAGTTCTGCTGACTCCTAGCAGGAGAAGACTATGAGCTGTGATGTCAGGAGCTCTCATAAACACACAGTCAAGCTGTGGTCGAGTCATGAGCCATTGAGCCATGTAGGTTCTGTTTTCCTTGTGTTTAATCTGGATTTAGTGTAATATGGTAAGTTTCAGGAGACTAATAAAACTTGCAGCTGGAGAGAGTGTGATGGTGATGTGTAAATATTATTTATTTTCTTAATATTGCTGTTACACTCAGACCTGAATTGTGCTGCCACAAGACGAGCAAAAAGGAAGCCAGGAAGTGCCTTAACACTTGTTTCCAAGTTTCCAAAGATACAGAGCAGCCAAGGAGTTTCACTAAAAAATCCTTCCAGCTGTCTGTTACTGTGTATTATCTTTTGTTTTGCAGGGAGGAGGGACGGATTATCCACACAAGTCTCAACAGAGAGAGGTTACCAGGTGCCAACCCGAATGTTTATGTTTAAAATGCTGTTGTACTGCTGTGATGGATACTTCTGGGAAATGGAGAATGTTGCAAACAGTACCTTCTCATCACTAGCTTTTTTTTTTTTTTCCCTATTACATTTTTCTGTAACCATTTCAACACAAAGAGAAGAAAGGTGGTTGTAAGTTGAATTTTGCACGTCATCTTTGGAATCTCTCCTGAAATGAGAAATGAGCCAGCAAATCTTACATTTGCTTAAGTTTCAGAAAGGGACCATAGATGCAGGTAGGTCAGCTGGTCAAATTCTGTTGTTTTTTTGAGATGAATAGTAATTCCTGATGTGAAATGTGATACTGATGTACTGCTTTGCGGCTGCAGAATTCCTGTGAGGCTGTATCACCATCTTTATTGTGTTTTGATTTAGTATGATGATATATTTGTGTCAAAGCAGTAGTGATCTGCAAAAGAAACATTTCCCCAAGTGGAAGGGAGATCCTGTATTTTCTACTTGCTTGATAAAACAATCAATTTGGAAATGTAAGTCTTAGAACGTCTGTTTTCTTCCAAGGGAAACATTACCACTAGAAAAGGGGATGGTGAGGATTTGGCAGAGATTATGAAGAAAATAGCATGTTCTTGGGTGAGTTGCTTTGCAACTCTTCCCATGTGTTGCTGAGAAGGCACCAAGCAGTTCCATGATACCACAACATGCTCAGAGCCTGCTGCTTGCAGTATGCCTTTCTGGAGGTGGTTCTTTCTTGTGTACAATGAGGACTGAGGTAAGAATTCCCTGGGTGGGAATCCTAACATCCTCCGTGCTCTGCAGGGTACGTAAGGGCAGGCAGTTGGCAGGGTGCTGCTGTGGTCCTCTTTGTAAATGCACGTATAGCAGCACTGGTAACAGTACCTATTACCAAACTATTTTCCTTCTGAAGTTGTGTTTAAAATTTTGTCAAATGATAAACATAGGCGCTGAATTTGTTCTGGCTATCAGTTGTTCCAGCTGTAAGTAGATCCATCTGTGGAGAGTTTCATCAAAAGCAGTCAGCTGGATTGATGAAATGAGTAGTTAGGAGGGCTTGTTTGTTTGTTTTTTGATTTTTGGTTTTTTTAAATCCTATTTCATGTTCCTCTCTGCTTTAGCTAGACTTGCATTGCTCATGCTGTTAGAATACTAACTTCAATTAATTCAGAGAATTCCCACGATGCAGACATCTGATCACTGTGGCTGCTGGCATTAAGGGCTGTACATAGGTAACTCACTTGAGGATGAAGCTCTTTTTGCAGAGGTGTCTGCTAAGAGCTGGCAAGAAGAGAATGGGATAGATCGAGCCCTAGGTGCCAGAAGAGGCTTTTCTCTAAATTGCCATTGATTCCTTCTTGTGGAATAACAGGCTTCTTCCCCAAAGCCTCAAAATGAGGTGTTTTCCCTTTGTAGGAATGCAAATGCTTATTGGGTTTTCCTTGGCTTGTTTTCCTTTGGCTTAATCCTTAATGGATTCCAGCATCTAAACAAGTGTAACTGACAAAACTGTTCCTGTGTGTAGTGGTTCTCCCAGCGTTTAATGTGCTGTGCATCTCAGCACAGTTACTGCACAATGTCCAGTGGTGCTGAAGGGATCCTGAATCCAAGATCCTGATGGAAACAATCTCTTCCATCACTGAAGCAGCAGGAATATGACCCAGGCCTATCCCAGGCTGCATGAGCTGTCCCATCTCATCCTCATGGAAATGAAATGAGACAGTAAGCCACAGAGTGCAGCTGCAGGGCCAGTGTTTTCTTCCAGGAAAATGCAGTTCACCCAGGCATGTGGCAGGAGCTTGCACCCTGCATGGGGGCTGACGTTCTCCCCAGCATAAATATAAAGGCAAGGCAGCGTGACAGAAGAACAGCCGCTCAGTGCTGCTTCCCAGGCCAATGGTACAGTCAGTGTCTGCAGCCGCCTTTTATTGAGAGGTCGTGGCTTTGCAGAGGTATAAATCTTTTAAGCAGCTGCAGTGTTCTTCCAGCAGCCCGAGAGTTTAACCCAATAAAACACTGGGCTGCAGCAGAGGCCCTATTCCAGCACCACAACCTCCTCAGAGATCTGGAAATGCAGGAAATCTCCACTGCAGCCCCTTTACAAAGAGCTGCATCTGGTTCCAAAGCAATGCCTTGTCCTCCCCCAGGCTCCTTTGTTCTCCTCCATGAATGCAGGCCCTCCACATCATTACTACCAAAGCAAATCCCAGCTTTGCTGGGAGCACGCAGCCAGCTGAGCAGGCAGGGAACTGGACCGAAGCTTGGAATAAAGGACAGTCAGACCCTTTGTACTCAAGGGGCAGACACAAAGCTGCGCTGAAGGACATCTGAGTTTCAGATTTTTATTGTATCAGCTGCCTGATCCCATCTGCCTTCTCTTCTCCCTGTGCCTGCTGGCCCATGGGGATGCTGGTGACCAGCAGACATCCCAGTGTCTCTGGGATGGCTGAAGCAGGCTTTGGTGAGGCGGCAGGAAGTGAAAGAGCTGGGACACCCCGCTATGGCAGGGCCACCAGTGGGACACTGCCTCCTGTGCTGCTACCTGCAAGGCCCTGTTGGCAGCTCTGTCCCTGATCTCATGGGGTTTGTTTGCGAGACGGGTGCACCCTCTGCTCTTCTGTTAACTTTGCTAAGGCATAGATTGTGTCACCTTCAATTGGCCGTGCAAACACAAGCTGTTTGTAACCCCTGAGTGCATGGAGGAGGCGCAACCAGCCATCTTGTGATACAATCTACAGCCTCAGCGTTCATTTTTGGGGCAAGCAAGGGCAATCCCTGCCATGGGAGGCCTTTCTCCCTGACTGGGCTGCCACAAACTCCACAAAGTGTGGCTACTGCGGTGGACACCTTGGGATGAGATCAGTACATATCCCATGGCTTCAGCAGTGCCAGCCCTGCCTCCAGAGAGCTGCAACCCAATGACAGGAGCAGCTTTATGGGGTTTTCCCTGTCATGAAGTTCTTTGTCGTCTGCCAGCCTTTATGAGACCTTGGCCGTGGGGTCCATCACTGAAACCATCATGGACAGGATATCCTTGATCATGACTATCTCCTGGGGTACTATCTCCCTGGGAACAGGGAATGGCCTGAAACTGTGCCTGGGAGGTTCAGGTTGGTTGATAGGAAAGATTTTTCCTCAGAAAGAGT